CAGTACTGAGGTCTGCTCTTGTGTATTGCGTTAAGTTTTTAAAGAGATTATATTGCATGGACGTGTTGTGCATATTTTTTAACAATGCTGAATCTGTATGAATGTAAACTTTGATTTTTTTAAGAAAATCAGATTTTAGCTTTGGACTAATGTACAGTAAATGCCAAAATACATACTTGATAGGGGCGTTTTTATAAGTTAATTTTATAAGACTTTTCACATTCAAAGTGCTGCTTCAGGTTTTAACTGTTTGGCTACCGGGGGGTTGGTACAGATACCTGAAGCTGTTTGTCGTATGTACACTGTTTCTCATTAAAACAAAAAATAGCCATACATTTGTTGTGCTGGATTATGTTGCAAAGCAGATAAATAGTGTGTGTAATCTTCCAGAGAACAAAAATTATTTTTAAACTATTTAGTTCTGAGATAAGCTTTATATTCTACTTACTTGACGTTGTACAGAATAATATGAGATCTAGAGGCCTACACCTTTATATGAGGCAGTTACTCGGGGTGTGACCCTGTAGAGCTGCAGGGAAGGATAATTTCACCCAGATTTTTCTACTCCCAGCTCTCTCCAAAGCGAACAAATAGTGTTTAGCAAACACAGGCAGAGCCACCTGCTTTGCATCCAGTCCCACTACTGCTATTTTTCACTTAAAAAAAAAAGAGGTGGTTAGAAGTTTCTGAACCAGTTCCTCGTTAACCACTCCTAACCTGCCCCTTGGGAGACACTGACTCAGCAGCAACCTCAGTGCCCCCTCTCCTCCCAAAACAAACCTCTGGGGAAGCCCAGGAAGCTCCGACTTCTGTGGATCAGACACCCCCAGGACGCAGCAGGTCACAAGCAGCTCACAGAAAGGGATCGTTGAAGAGATATGGAGGGAAAGGTACCTTTTACCAAGTAACTTCAGAGTCTTTTAATTCTTTAAAATAATTCACCTCTCTGACCAAAGGAGGTGGCCACTCTGAGACCTTTTCTGCCCTTAAGGAGGGACTCTGGCGCGTCCAAGTTGGAAAGGAAGTGGTGTTCACATTTTGAAGCCTAATTATGCACAGCAAGTCTCAGGATAACCTCACCCCAGGGGAGCGTTTCTACACAAAACTCAGTGCAGCCCCAGAGGTTAGTTAAACCTAATCTGCTTTACACTGTCCTAAGGTTTAGTGTTCCCCACCACAAAGGCACGTTTCATTACAATAACTTCAGCATGAATGGATTCTTTTTTCCCCATCCCTAAAGTGGGGTTTTATACTAAGTGACTCAGATGAGATAATGACAGAAAATCTACCCAAATTTATATATTTATATTTGTGGGCTGCATTTTACTTGAGTACACAGCACCTGTGGTCATAAATCACAAGTGTGAGATTAGCTGGCTAACGATTAAATTGCTACCTTTTAAAAAGCGTTCAACAGCATAAGTCAGAGATTCTTAACTCTTAAAGTTGTACACAAGCATTTGTGTTTATGTACCTTTTTCTAGGAAGAGTATCCATGGTTTTCATCAAATTCTTAAAAGGCTCTGCAAACCTAAAATAGAATAGAATTCAGAATAGAATGGCAACGCTACTTAGCCTAGTCCCTGAAAATCCTTATGCTCAACTCCCAACAAATACAGTTTTAAAACAAAAATTATGAAAAACACTTTATTTAGCTTATGTGACATTAAACTTCTTTCTGCAACAATGCCATAGACAGTAAAGGGACACAGCAAAGAAAAGGCAGTACCTGGAGGAACAGAAAGCAGATCTCAAAATCTTCTTTCACACAACAGCAAACATTTGTAAAAAGGCCCAAATTTAAAAGCCTGCTAATGGTACAAAGCATTCATTTGAAAAAAGTGACAAATGATAGGCAGCCAACAGTCTCAGGTACACAGGGCCACTGAGTAGAGTGACAGGACCGAGAGCCGCAGCAGGTGGACACCGCGCAGAGAACACCTGCAGCTGCAGAGGCCGTGCAGGTAACGGGCGCTGTTCTGGGCCAGCATCGCAAGCCTCGGCCCATCAAGGAAACCCACATCACATAACAGTGACTGGCCCACAAATGAATAGGATCCTCGACTCCAAAGCAAGAAAAAGGGTTATAAGATCACATATCGCAAAGAATGCATATCTTTAGAGCTGCCACTACAGCCCAAATTCTAGCAACTTGGAGAGCTACAAAGAATAAAAAGCATGTGTTTCACACTATAGGAAACCGAACTCCGCAGGGAAGCAGCAGTGCCTAAAAGATGTGAGCATTTTACATGAGTAAACTGGTAAACTTCCAAGAAAATGCACCTGGGGAAAGCAGTAACAGATAAGAGTGCCGGGAGCCGGTCCATCCTTGCTGTTTCAAGGGACCTGGCATATATGGCATACTGTTCTTAATATATTTGCTCACCTTCTTGGCACTATGTGTTTTAACCAAGGTCACCTCTCCGAGAAAGGTTGTTTCCCCAGGTAGAGATTTTCCCCTGAAGTTAGGGAGGGAATAAAACCCCTTCACTAAGTGCCAGGCAGGTAATTAATCTCTTTAAGTATGAACAATCATGCTTAAGCTACATAATCTTTACTCCCTGGAAAGGAGATAAGAAACACCCTAACCTTTGGAATAGAGATTGATAGGATTGAATCAACTGGTATAAATACAGATGTAAGAAGCTAGCGAGAGAACATGGCTACAGAACCTGGCTGGAGAACCTGGAGAACGTGGCTGGGGAACCTAGCCAGAGAACATGGACACAGAACTCGGCTGGAGATTGTGGCTAGAGATCCTGGCAAGGCTGCTGATCAACTGAACGCTGTCTCCGTGTCATTCCTTCTTCGCCGACTCCGTCCACACCTTTGGGAACCCCTGGGCCTGCTGGGGTTGGACCCCAGCATAAGAGGAGGTGAGGGCAGTACTACCTACTAGCTGATGAGCCCAGGATGGGAGGACTGGAATAACAAAATGCATCTTATTTTTTCCACGTGTCAAGGATGCTATTCTGGTCCTAGCCAGTTTGGCTCAGTGGATAGTGTCGGCCTGCGGACTGAAGGGTCTCGGGTTCGATTCCCAGTCAGGGCACATGCCTGGGTTGCAGGCTGATCCCCAGTGGGAGCGTGCAGGAGGCAGCCAATCAATGATTCTCATTGATGTTTCTATCTCTCCCTCTCTGAAATCGATAAAAATGTATTTTTTTAAAAAAAAAAAGGATGCTATTCTGTAAAAGTTCATGTGAACCCCATCTAAGCTGAGAAGGTAGGCAATTGTAACTTAGCCGTCTCTCCCTTACGCACTGAGGCTCTTCAGAGCAAGTCCTGCAGCAGGGACCATGCTAACCAGAAGACAAAATCTGGCCTAAGCGTTGCCCGATATAGGCTTATTGACCTCTGGGCAGGTCAGTTTACCCCTCTAGCCTTTAATTTACACGTGTGTAAAAGATGGGACGGAACTAGTTATCTATAAGGGTGTTCCAGAAATTGGGGCCGGCCCCACCACAAGCAGGCTCCACTTAAGCCAGAGCGGCCATGCTTGTCAGGCTGCTTTTAACTAGTTAAACTGCATGGCCTGCATTCAGTTCTGTCACTTATTCCCTGAGTGACCTTGAGCAAGTTTGCTTATCCTCTCTGGCTGCCACAGCCAAAAAGAGAGGACGACAGTCATTGCAGTGAGGATTAACTGGATGGGTGAGGCACTGAGAACTATGTCTGGCACATAGTAAGTGTTGCTCAAATATTTTTAGGTACTAAATGATGTATTTTTACAATTCCCTTCACATAACCTTTCCTGTTTCTAAAAGGTTTTTAGTGCTTAGAGAAATGTGTCAAATCTTATTTTTTTAAAATGGTTGGTTTCAAAACAGACCTAGAAATAGAAGGTTCACCTTGAAGAGGTGTCAACTTATGCAAGTCCCTCCGCCAATTTAAATACAACCAAACTTGATTGTCACATGCTAGGAAATGGCTTATATCTATGAACATATAGTATAGCTCTGCCAACAATTGGAAACTGATTGTTTTTCACTGACATCTGAAATAATTGTCCTTCCAGCTGAGTTAGCAGGGGAAGTCATCCAAATAAAGGGGGGCTCACTACAGAGCTTCTGACTTTGAGTTTTGTTTTTATACAGTTAGCCTCCAGACCTGCTCTTATTAGGCTGACAAATCCTCTGTTCCCACTTCAATGTGTCAGGAAAAATCTCTTCAAAATTGTTTTAGGGTTGAATCCTTTGTAGGGAGTCCTGGTGGACAGCAAGCATGTGACAGGCCAGACCAAGGGGGTGTAGTGACGGGGGAGGGAGTGCAGTTAGAACAACATGTGAAAACACAGCGCAGCTCTGGGTGCCCACACAGTCCCCCTCAGGCACTGCCAGCTCTCTCCGAAGAACCTGAGTGATCACTGTGCTAAGAGAATAGCCCATTGAGAATAGTCCATGGTAGTTATATAATTGAAATTTGTCTATATGACTCCATATTAGACCCTCATGTTTGGAAATAAGCCCAAATCTCACTCATTCCCACAAAATATGTTTCTCATATTAAATGATGATTTAAATATCAAAACAGTGGATCACTGTCCCATCACACATTAAGGTGTAGTTGGGCCCTAGCTGGTTAGAGCATTAGCTTGAGAACCAAAGGACATGTGGGAAGCAACCAATTGATGTGTCTCTCTCATGTGGATGTTCCTCTCTCTCTACCTCTCCTTCCTCCTTCCCATCTCCACCCTCCCTCCCCCCACCTTCCACTCTCTCTAGAAATCAATGGGGAAAATATCCTCTGATGAAGATTTTTTTAAAAGTGTAGTTGGGTAGGTTTTTGTTGTTCAATACTCAGTTCCTGTTGATAGTTGTCAGCTCCTACTCCCCCTAGTTCAAGGATAGGGAACCTTTTCCTGCCAAGGGCCATTTGGATATTTATATCATCATTCGTGGGCCATACAAAATTATCAACTTAAAAATTAGCCTGTTATATTTGGTCAAACATTTAATTAACTCACCCCTAATGCCTTGGCAGGGCCAGACCAAATGATTTCACGGGTCTTATACGGCCCTTGGGCCGGATGTTCCCCACCCCTGCCCTAGTTAATTCCTTTTAAAGACTGAACTTGAAAACAATGAAACCCTTGCATAGCTATGGGAGAATTTTAAGTTGTCCATGGACCATTTGGGGGGATGGATACCCTGCAAAAAGACATTTAAAAAGAAAGTGCTATTAAAATGAAATCTTTAAAATGGACATTGATGAGTTTCCCCAAAACATGTAAAAATGGCATCCTGATCTTCACTGGTGGTTCTTAGAAATGTCTTTGAGGATATTTTTGGAGCAGATGGGCACAGAGACTCAAAACACTTCATCTGAAAGTGGGAAAATGCCCTTGAATATTAAAACAAAAACAAGCAAAATACTTTAAACTATAGACCATGCTATCTCAACAGCCTACTTGGCCCAGGCCCAGTACCAAGTAGGCCTCTCAGGTTGGACTAAATAACCTGTTTCCCCAGCACACGCAAGTGAGGCCTTAGCCAGGAAGAAATTACCAAGATGGTACATCCCCCTGATGCGCTGCGTCCAAATGCAGTGAAAGGCGCAGCCTCGAGAAGCATCAGGAATATCTGTGAACGGAGTCGTGGGCACTGATGAGTTTTCCTAAGAGCATGCACTAGTCTGGATCAGCACAGGCGTGGCAGGGAAAGGTGCTTGATTAGACGCGAGTCCAGCCCGGTGCCTACCTCGGGCATCAATAATCAACCTAAAGACCTTCATTCCATTACCTCATTCTGTTTGTTGTTGTTGTTTTGCTTTGCTTTTAACCTGTTACCTCTTTTATAAATACAATTAGGAGAATTTCATCGGCAAAGAATTGTTCAAGGCTAGGCTATCTCCCTTGCCTCCCATCCCCCTCTATTTGTCATGGGGCTTCTAAGCTACTCAGAAAGAAGTAAAATTGACCCGGATCACACTGGTTCCCTGGTCCTTAAACAATCAAGCTTATTTTCTGTATTGAATCTCACTGAGGCTGTAACACTGAGTCATTAAGAATAATTTCAGACCACCTCAGAATATAGACAATGGTGTGTTCTCTAGATGTATGTCCCAGTGTTTCTGAAACAGTTCTGCTCAACTTTTAATAAAATTGCACCAATATCAAAATTAAGAAGTATTCAAGGTCTCACTAGCAGAAACCAACCTTTATATCATTGAATTATCCTAATGACTTAGTAAATACAGAGCGTAAATACTAGCCACAGTAAACCTATTTTCAAAAAGAAAATGTGTTTAATCTCATATCAGAAGGTAATTTTTTAAAACCACAAAAATCACACATGATTATTTAATTGCTCACTTTCAAAACATAGATGTAACTCATTTTATGCATTCACTATGTTCCTGAAAATTTCCATTATTAAAAAGTAAGTTAAAATTGTAATTTGAGGTGCCTTATCATCATGTCCTATTTATGTTCTGCTTGGAATAAAAACTAATATTTTACTAAGTTTCCATTTTGCCCAGTCTACCATATAAATATTCTGATGTTTCTATTTCACCCAGTCCACCATATAAATATTCTGATAAGAAAATATCTTAAAAGAGCCCGAGGGTATAAAGAATCCTATTGCTATAAGTAATTATTCTCTTCTTCATGTCAAGTTCACAAACCAGGTCTTGTTCAAGTCGGGACAGTCTGACTCTAAGCCTGACACACTAGTTGTTTGCCCTTCCCTGGGACGGGGTGCCTGGCACACACACAGCCGTGCCTCTGGATGGCTGTGGCTGCCCAGGAAACCGTGGCTGCCACCCATACCCACAGGACAGCACCCTACCCCTGCAAACAGCACCTTTCCCCAGCACATGCACCCGGCCCTTTGGGACAAGAGAGTTTTTATGGAAGGGCAACTCCAGGGGCAGAGAGATTTAAATCTCCACAGTCCTCCATGAACATGATCACACACACACACACACATATGAGCAGGCTCTCTGCACATCAGGAGGGAACGAAGAGGGCAGCAAGGTCTGGGGAAGAACCTGGCTCCCATCCTAGCTGGAGCACTGGCTCCCTAGTCACAGTCCCTCTGTCCTTCAGCAGAACGGTGCTGACATCAGTCCTCCCAGGCAGGAGGTTTTCAGCGCTGCATTCAAGCGGTCCAGAGAGAGCTTACAAAGGCCTATCGTATCCTAAAAGGCAGGTGAGATCGCACAAGGTTGTATTGAATCTCACTGAGGCTGTAACACTGAGGCACTTGCAGGAAGTAGACTTACTTCCTACAAGTGCCACGTTCTCTCAACCCTTCCAGGCCCGATTCCCACCGTGCATTCCAAAACCTCCAAGATGTTTTTCCCAAAGGGGTGGGGAAAAGATGGAAAGTAAAAAAGGGACCACACTGATATCCTATGCGGCCCAGCAAGACAAACTGCATCCAAACGTGCCCCTAGTAACAAGGAAAACTGGCTGTCTCACCTCGACTCCCGGGAAGTAGGGAGGTCGGGAAAGGATGGTACAGACTGAACCACCGTGACTGAGGAGGGAGCAACAGAAAGACGAAGCCCGCCCATCGCGATGGGGCTCACGATCGCACCAGAGCTCAGGCTGCAGCAGCTACCTCTGCAGCCTGTTCGCCTCAGGGCTGGTCTTCACTGAGACGGGTTCTGAGAGCCCTCTTTGCTCTCAGTCTTCTCTGCTGGGCTGCACTCAGACTCCGTGACCAAGGGCTTGCACCCATGAAGCGTGTGGGCATTCAGCATCTCCAGCAGCAGGTCGTAGACCGGGACCACGTTTTTGCACTTCATGCTGAGCAGGTGTTCCATGCCCTTGTTGCTATGGGGACAAAAAGGTACTGAGATTCTGTCCTGTGATGCAGCCGCAGGAACTCAACGTAAGTCGTGCACACACTCGGACATACGCACTTCCCTAAGCCCTTTGTTCTATGGCTCTTGCATCTGGCTCCTTCAATATCTACACTCAAGGGCGAGGACAACGTCCTATGACCTCTGTGTCCCATCACCCACCCACAATGGCCTGGCAGTGCCTGGCACAGCGTGCAATCGATGCTCATTGTTCACGGTAGTCACTGCAGGCTGCTCCTGCGGGAAATGCAGGGTTAGGGTCCTGAGAGCCTTGGGAACACTGTACGGCACTTTGGTACTATGCATGGAGGCCATTTGTGGACACTGAAATCTCCAACCACAAAAATGCAAACACATGGCACTAAATAGGCCACATGAGGAACACTTGCTGCAGCGTGAGGAAGGCAGAGCATGACCTTGGTTGGCCTCGGCTGGGGATGTAAGCACAGGCCACGTGAATGCTTTGCCACTCTGTGACTGTCCCCAAGTGATCACAAAAGTGCCGTGAGTAATCAATCGGGAGGTTACAAATAAAGTTTAGCAAGCGGGCAAATTCTCAAATACAGAAACCGGGATTACGATAGACTATTTGTTATGCAAATGATTGTGTGCAGAATGATCATTAAACAGAGGCAGAGGCTGTTCTCATTTCCTAACCCTTGTTAAAATTCTTGAGGGGCATGTGTTCCTCCCCATAGCCCCTAGACTTTCTCCGTATCTCCCCTCTTCCAGCCCCAGGGCAAGCACCCTCATCCTGGGTGACACAAAGCCACCATGGGACATCCCACAGCACTATCGCAGCCCTGCCTTCCTAAGAACTGCGGACTCACCAGTTCTCTTAGGTCTCATCCTTATGTCCTGGTGCCATAAGGATGTCCTGGTGCCGCAAGGAGAGAACAGCTCTCAGGGAGGGCTCTGTGCACTTCCCCAGATCACAGATCTCAGGAGTTGCTCTAGGAAAGCTGGGTTTAACCTCTTTAAGGAAATGACCTGGGGACTCCAGCCCTAGGTGGTGCAGGGATGGGTGGCAGGTCACTTTAAGGAAGACCCTGCCCCTTTTAGAACTCCACAAACAAGCTAAAATCCCCAGCAATTAAGAATTAGATGAGCCACCACAGGATGCCACAAAGATCCTGTAAGGAGCCACGTGACAGCCATTCGGTGCCCACTATGTGCTGACCTTTGGCTACAGGTGTGTGCCCTAATGAAGAACCCCCATTCCCTTTCAGGGCTTCATCGTCCTTTCAAGGCCACAATTCTACCGTATCCACCTCAAACTTGAAAACCCTCTTCCCAAAGCTCTCCACCCTCTGAACATGTGCCCCCTTCCCCGCCACGTACCCGGTGGGGGGAGGGCCCCTTACAGATCGTACCTGGCGTGCCTGACGTGAGAAAGGAGCATCAGCAGGTTAGCCAGGCGGACGGACTGCTGCTGGGAAGGGATGCCGCTCTTGGCGATCACCCAGACCAGAGCATCAGTCACAGCATTCAGCAAGTGAGTCAGCTTCCGGCTGCTCTCCGCCTCCTGAGCTGCTGCAGCTAAAGGGTACATACCTAGACAAAGAATCAAGGCCATGACTCATGGCTCTGCAAAAAGGAAACAGAAGTTGTGTGCTCAGGCATTAGGCACGCCAACATTCTCCTGACAGGAGGGCAATGATCAAACGGGTTCTGACATCTGCATGGATAGTGGTGTCCCAAGAGCCAGCCCCATGGCTGAATGGGAAGAGTAAGCCTGGCTGAATTTGGTCCAGAATTGTGGCCTTGCCTTGAAAATGTATCAAACCATTATTTGGTGAATGTCATTTGCATGAACAAATACACATATAGAGATGGTCAGAAAGCCCTTGGAGAGCTCTTTATTAAGGGGAGTTTAATAAACATAAACTGCTGACCACTGCTACACAGCTTCTCCCACCCACCCCCTCGTGTGTGCCATGTGTAGACAGTCACGGTAGGCTCACCGCATGAGCACCCAACCTCTGGCGGCACCTTGCTGGGCACAGGAAGACCATCAGTCTGGAGTCAACAGACCTACTTCATGTCCGCTGTCTGTAGCTCTCTGACCCAAGACCAGTTCCCAGCTCCTCCAACCTCACCTCATCATTGAGCAAAGCTTGCAGACATATGTCTGCTAAGGTCTCCACAACCTTCCCACCAGGTGCCTGTGTTTAATTCCCCTCTGACTCTAGGATCTGAGACACTGTGGCCTCCCAAAGGTTGCAAAATAACAGCTCAGGTAGCTCTCCTTCCCTCCACCCCATCCCCAACCTCTGACTCCCTGATTCCTGGAAGCAGGAAAATAACCAGCTTCTCTTCCAGATTTTCAACTTCAAACTATAAATAGCAAATATATGAAACCAACAGGGGAAATGCCAATCTTTGACTGTAATGAGAATGAAGGATGGTTGGTACTCCATCACCCACCGAATCTGTTTTGGCAATTTTTGTTCTCTATTTTTATTGGCATTTTCAGTTCAATTAAGGCAAGGGACATACTGAACCAAATTATGCAAGTGTAGTGCTTCACCACATCCCTGCGGCACATCCCTCCATAATGTCTCATGATGCAGATTTAAAATATCCATCTTTTAAACTGCCCAGAACTGCTTCTCTAACCACCTGCTCACCTCCTTCTCCACAGGGACTGAGTCCTCCCACTGTCCCCCACAGCACGTAACCTGCCCTTCCACTGCAGAGGAAACAAGCCCCAACCTCAACCCCTTTGAATGGCCAAAATCAGATCTGCTCTCGGGGTTGAGGCCAACTGGGACAGTTCTTGAGGGCACCAGACTCTCCCTGCTCTTTTCATCCTCAGCTCCCACCACACCTCACCTTGAAACTTCAATTCCTTGAACAGATGATGCCCTGAACATGCTAAACTTTCTGCTTAGGAACTCTCTTATCATCCTCCTCTCTCTCTACTCTTGTTATCTATATTCATTCCTCCTTCAGATCCCAGCTTGCTTGAACTTCCTTCTGGAAGCTTCCCCTGATCTGAAAGCTGGATGTCTTCACATATGCCCCACTCTCAAAGAAACTGGACATAAGCACTTCAAGAGCACAGACCCATCACCTAGTGCCATGATTGATGTGAAAGAAATGCTCATAAATGGAAGAATTAAAATGAATCGCATAGGTTCAAATTTTTGCAATTTTTAGCCAATCACGCCATCATAAGTGAAATTATAAATATGCATGCTAAGGCATATTTTAGGTATACCATGGAAAATTATTAATCAAATGAAAATATGGAGAAATTGTTTTAAGCTTCCTTTCCTTAAAACTGACCTCAGCTTCAATGTCTGTTTCATACATTCTGTCAGTTTCTAAAATGTAAGGAAAGTGGACTCTGCCCTTGCTTATGCTTTTAATTTAATGTTACAAATAATCCAGAAGAAAAAAGCCTATGCCTCCAGATGTCTAAGATCTAGCATAGAAAAGACCCACCTCTCCTATCAGTGGAAACTTTCCAATAGAAACAGAATCCCACTTTCTAACAGCTGAACAGATTAAATTCATCTTGACAACTGTTACGACTACTACCAAACAAGAAAGGAACTTTCCTAAAGGAAGATTTCTTAAATTTGGATTTACCATAAACAAATGCTAGTCATTTACTGCCATGAGTGGTAATTACATCACATGCCTGCCTCACCCTCTGTAATTCTCTCAAATGTTGGCAGTCTGTCAGATGCTGCCGGGACGCCATAGCCTTAGTCTCCCATTTGCACAGATGATGCTTTTAGCTTTCACAACAACACAATATGATGTCTCACAGGCTAGAAGGACCATAAGGAGCCTTGCCAAACAGAAGGCTTTCTACTGCAACGTGTTGTAACAACAAGGAAACTGCTTTCTAAGGAGCACTTTGCTGCACAGAAATGAGTTCTAAACAACTTCTAAAGGTAAGAGAAGCCCCATACTGTGGCATTGGCTGTTCCTCCTGCGCCAACATGGGACTATACTTCTCAAGCAAATCCTCCCTTTAACAAAGATAGAAGTGGCAGCACACGTCAGGTGATATCTGTAGGTGGGCTGAAAGAGACCAGTAAAAGTTTATTTTTTTTTCCATGATCAATTCCCAATGTCCCAGCTGGACATTTCCTATTGGCACATCAACTTAATTGCTGATGTAAGCTGGGCCTTTGTATTATTCTATAAAAGGTGAATGGTAACAGTAAATGTCAAGATGCCAGAAGCACCAAAGCGCTTACAAGTCTTCTTCACTTTCTCTACAGTTTTCATTGTCCAATAATTAATCATTTCTACTCAAACTGCTTGCTTTCCAGAACTGAGGTAGGGAGTGTATATCAGGTTCAAGGGGCATGCCCTGTCAGGCAGGTGAGGCCAGATTTACCCAAGGAGAAAACACCCAATAGTTGTCTTCAGGGCCGCTGTGCCTCACATGACATTCAGATTCCTTCTCTACTCTCTCTACTCTTTTCTTCTCTCCTCTCTTCTTCAAGACCTAACCCCACCCACCTCTGTCTAGTAATCTCCTCAACAGCATCTCATTCAGTTTTGGCTTCAGGAATTGCTGCTTTGGCTCCAATGAACAAAATAGAAACAGAAGCATGGTTACATGGAACAGACTGACAGCTGTCAGAAGGGAGGAGGGTTGTGGGGCTGGATGAAAGAAGGTGAAGGAATTATCCAAAAAACACATATACACAACACATAAACACAGATAACAGTGTGGTGATGGCCAGAAGAAAAGGGGGGTGGGGACACGTGGAGGTGGACAAAGTGGGGATAAATGGGGATAAAAGAGACTTTGCTTTGGGCCATGGGTACATGATGCCATGTGTAGATGATGTTTTGTTGAGTTGTACACTTGAAACCTGTATGGTTTTGTAAACCAATGTTACTCCAATAAAATCAATTAAATACATAAATAAATAAAATGAATGCATGGACCATTGAACATAAAAATAAAGTGGTATAATATGATATCACAAATTCCTATTATTTCAAACATTAAACACTAAGATTGGATAAAATCTAGGTAATAAAACCCCAAAGGAAGGGATCCGTAAGTCCTTAGTTGAGGATTAAAACTTGGACATACATATTATTTGAGAAAGAAGAAATAATAACAAAAGGCCCTACAAGAGTAAATAGCTAAGCAAAGCAATCCATACCTGGTATAGCAGGTGGACCAAGTAAATACCAGGTAAACAGTAAACTGAACAGTATGAAAACGATATGCAAACTTAGAAAAGTGTGAAAAATAACACATCTCCATTGCAGCAATATTTATAACTAGAGGCCCGGTGCATGAAATTTGTGCACCGGGGGGGGGGGCGTCCCTCAGCCCAGCCTGCACCCTCTCCAATCTGGGATCCCTCAGGGTATGTCCAACTGCCCGTTTAGGCAGTCAGAAGTCCCTCTCACAAGCCGGGACTGCTGGCTCCCAACTGCTCACCTGCTTGCCTGCCTGATTGCCCCTAACTGCTTCTGCCTGCCAGCCTGATCACCCCCTAACCACTCCCCTGTCAGCCTGATCAATGCCTAACTGCTCCCCCTGCAGGCTTGATCACCCCAACTGCCCTTCCTGCAGGCCTGATCGCCCTCAACTGCCCCCGCTGCATGCCTGATCCCCCCCAACTGCCCTCCCCTGCAGGCCCAGTCACCTCTAACTGCCCTTCCCTGCCAGCCATCTTGTGGTGGCCATCTTTGACCACATGGGGGTGACCATCTTGTGCGAGGGTGTGACAGTCAATTTGCATATTCCCTCTTTATTATATAGGATGGTAGAGAAAAAAGGAACTGTAGAGAAGTGATTGAACAATTTAGACCAGTGGTTGCCAACCAGTGGTCCACGGCACACTGGTGGTCTGTGAGGTCCGAAAGGTTGGCGACGGCTGATTTAGACAATGCCCTCACTGGAAAGATTAACTTAGCTCTCTCCTAGTTGACCTGAAGGGATTTCATAGCATTTTGAAAAGTAAAAAAGCAAGATATGAAGAACTATCTTATATAGTGTCCCAACTTTTTAATAATGAAAAGCCTACCTTTGTATATGTTAAAAGTGAGGTATTATTATTATTTTTTTAATCCTCACCCAAGGATATGTTTTTGTTTTGTTTGTTTTTTTCATTGATTCTAGAGAGGAAAAGCAAGGGGAGAGAGAAACAGAGAAACATCAATCAGTTGCCTCCTGTACACGCCCCAGCTGGGTATCGAACCCTCAACCTGTGTATGTGCCCTGACTGGGGACAATACCTCACAGTCCTGGACAGAGTGAATGGTGGGACAACACTCTAACCACTAAGCACACCAGCCAGGCCTGTGAAGTATTATTTTATTTTATTTTTTTAAATATATATTTTATTGATTTTTTACAGAGAGGAAGGGAGAGGGATAGAGAGTTAGAAACATCGATGAGAGAGAAACATTGATCAGCTGCCTCCTGCACACCCCCCACTGGAGATGTGCCTGCAACCAAGGTACATGCCCTTGACCGGAATCGAACCTGGGACCTTTAAGTCCGCAGGCCAATGCTCTATCCACTGAGCCAAACTGGTCAGGGCTAAATTATTATTAAAAGATGGGAGGTCAAAAGAAAAAAAAAAAAAGATGGGAGAAGGTACAAAGTCAACACTATGGTTAAGATAACTATTTGGTGTTGGGGTAGAAAAGTCAAGCAAAGGCAATTATAGGTACTCTTTCAAAGTACCCATAATTTTTTACATAAGATGTTATGCTGTTTATGTAAAACTAGAGGCCCAGTGCATGAATTCATGCACGGGTGGGGTCCCTCGGCCTGGCCAGCAATCGGGGCAGGCCGGCCAGGGGGAGGGACTGTGGGAGGTGGGCCGGATGCAGGAGGTTGGCTGTGGGAGTGCACTGACCACCAGGGAGCAGCTCCTGCATTGAGCATCTGCCCCTTGGTGCTCAGTGCACATCATAGCTACCGTCCCGTCGTCCAGTCATAATAGTCGCTTAGGCTTTTATATATATAGACTAGAGGCCTGGAGGCCCGGTGTAAGAAATTCATGCAAGAGTAGGCCTTCCATAGCCCAGCTGCCCGCACTGGCTTCCCTCTGGTACCTGGGACCAGGGTTTCCCTCCAGCCGCCGGCAGACACCCGGGACCCAGGCTTCCCTCCAGCCACCGGCAGGCACCCGGGAACCAGGCTTTCCTCCAGCTGCCAGCAGGCACCTGGGACCTGGGCTTCCCTCGCAGCCCCAGCTTCATCTGGAAGGTCGTCCAGTCTAATTATAATATTACACTTTTAGTATTATAGATTATGTATATAAGTATGTACATATATTTCTTTATATATATTATCTATAATACTAAAAGCACAATATGCTAATTAGACCAGACGTCCCTCCAGACTAAGCTGGGGCTGCAGCCACGGGATCAAGGCAGCCGCAGTGGCTATGAGGGAGGGATCCACTGCTATGAGGGAGGGATCCGGATCCAGGCAGCTGCCCATGGCTGCGAGGGAGGGATCCAGGCAGCCAGCCATGGCTGCGAATTTCATGCATCTGGCATCTAGTTATTATATATTTCTCTC